GTTTTTGTTTTTATCGTCGTATTCGTAAAATTGAAGTTAGAGAGACTTTAAAAAAGATGAAGTGCCGAAAAGCTGTTGGACTTGATGATATTCCAATAGAGGTGTGAAAATGCTTATGAGATGAAAGAATTTTTTGGCTTACTAAACTTTTTAATATTATTTTGAAGACTAAAAAGATGATAGTTTAGTGGAGAATGAGTGTGTTGATTTCCATTTTTAAGATTAGAGTGATGCACATGATTGCACGAATTATAGAGGAATTAAGTTAATGTGTCATACTTTAAAACTATGGGAGAGATTTATGTAGCATAGGTTGCGGGGTGACACTAATGTTTCTCAAAATCAATTTGGATTCATGCTGGGTAGGTCAAGTATGAAAGCTATACATTTATTGAGAGGTTTGATAGAGAAGTACAGAGAGAATAAGGATGATTTACATATGATATTTATTGATTTAGAGAAAGCATATGATAAAGTTCCAAGAAAATTTCTATGGAAAGTTCTAGAAAAGAAAGAAGTTAATAATGCTTATATCAAGTCATTAAGGATTTGGATGCAAATAAAAAAATTAAAAAAAAAATTAAATCTTTTTAAAAAAAAGAGGATATGTATGCAAGGGATGTTACTTGTGTTCAAACACAAGGTGGTTAACCAAGTATTTTCCTATTTCAATGGATTACATTAGAGATCTGCCTTAAGCCCATATCTTTTTGCTTTAACCATGGATGTTCTCACTAGACATTTGCAAGAGTTTGTACCCTGGTGTATGCTTTTTGCTGATGATATTCTTCTTGTTGATAAGACCAGAGAGGGAGTTGAATGTAAACTTGAATTATGGAGGTCAACCTAAGAGTCTAAACATTTTTGTTTGAGTAGATTTAAAATTGAATATGTGGAGTGTAATTTTAGTAATAATAGTTCTTGTGAGGGATTATGACTTTGGGTGATCAAGTCATTAATAAGAGTAGGCATTTTAGATTTATTTTTAGAAAGGTAGATGTAGAGCTTAAAAGACTTTGGTTAAAAAATATTAGAAACGACCTATCTTTGTTAGATTTAAATGAGAATTTAACTTTTAATAGGGCACAATAGAGAAAAAGAATTCATGTAGCCAACCCCACATAGTTGATAAAGGCTTGATCTTGTTATTGTTATTGTTGTACAAGAAAAAAATTCTTCAAAAATCAGTTTTTGTTTAATTGTTCGCTTTCACATTGAAAATTTTGATTTTGATTTTAAGTTTAAAGAATTGGTTTTAATTTCTAAAAGAATTTTTGAATTTTTTTTTAAATCATCAATTCACCCCCTTTTTGATGTGTCATTTAGTAGTTCATGTGATTTCACAACCATCCTTTGAACTTTCAACTTTTATGCAATTCTTATGTTTTATGTTGTTTTATTTTTGTAATATCTAGATTTCAATTCTATTTTATGTAATTTATCACTTGTCACTTTACATCATGTGTAATTTTTTTGTTTCATATGTATGCTAATTTGTTACTCTATAGCAATAGAAAGTTAATATGTCATCTTTTAACATATTATTTATATATTATATTAAAAAATCACTCTTAATTTTTATTTTCATTTTACGTAATTTTTAGATTTTAAGGGTTACATATCGCCTCACAAATGTAAAATAGCTCAATACCCAATTGCATAATTTTAAACATCGACAAATTCATCAAAATCTCCCTAGATAGGGTCTCTATAGCTCCAAAGTGACTTAAACATTTTATTGTGTCTCATAGTTCGCCTCATAGTTCTCTCTTTTCCCTTTTATTTATTTATTTATTTTTTTTTATATTTGAGCCTAAGAAATTAAACTTGTGTTTTTGGAAGAGTGATGAATCTCAAATATTGTAAGGATACAAGTCAAAGAAGATGTCATATTTTGATATTCTCAGAAGGTACTATGATCATTGTTGATTTTCACCCCGATCAATCATATTCTTCTCAGTGTGTCCTTTTAGGAGTAAGTCTTTCTAAATATGCAAAACAGGCTTCCACTCTTTTGCTCAATTCCTTATTATGTGCTAATAATAGGTTTCACTAATTTTAACAACTACGAAATTGTTTTAAACCTTAGAAAAGTATAAAAAACAGAAGAAAAATCTTAGAAGGTTCCTCTTACATAAGGGAGAATGAGGGATTTTAATACCGTAGTTCTACCATTTAAGAAAGATTTTCCATCTTTAATTTTATCTATACATATTCAATGGGCACTTCTTTGCGTGAGGTTCCTTCTGTGTCTCATCAAACTTCATTGCTGGATGTCAACCTTCTATAATATTTTTGTCTATGTCAATAGGTCTTGACCAGAGAACCAAATATGAATACCATTTTTATCACTAGGTAGATGCAGTTGGGCATAAAGATGGTATTATCAGAGGAAATGGAAGAAATACTCTCATGATATCTTTGTGAATAAAATATTCTGTTCTTTATTTCCATAAATTCTCATAACCTTAATAAAATTCTGTCAGGGTCGTCCAATTCTGAATGAGCTACCCCATGATTATTTGATTCTTTCAAACTAATTATACTTGCTTTTCTTGTTGAATCAAAGAATACATATTAATTAGTGGACTGTGTTGAAAATTATTTTCTGTATTGAGCATCATTATTTGGCTAATTAGGATTTTATATATATATTCTGTTATTCAACCAAACTTAGGTTATAATGTTTTTTTTTCTACAGGGAGGAATTGTACAAAATTATAAAGAATTCCTTGACCGATATATTGGGCCAGTAGCATCTGTAGCCGGAGTGCTAGATTTTTTTTCCCTTGCTTTTCTTTGTGATGTAATTCGAATTTGAAAATGTTTGTATTTTTGAGTTATAACTTGTAATTCGTCTGCTGTAGCTGTTCACCATCCTTTTGTTTATTATTAGTACTCTTTTTTATGTTTGGTACCAAATCCTTTGACCTTTTGTATCATGAGTTGAGCAGCATAGCATTTTCATAATCCAGTTAATAGATTTGAATGCAGCATAAATACGAAATTTATTGAGACAAAATATGCTAAAAATATTCTTATAATTTTATTTATTTTTCATCATTCGATACAAAATGAAACCAGTAAAGAACTGTCACAGATAAAAGACTATACGTCATAAACAAGAGAAAATGTTATGTTCTGAAGCATTTCCTATCAGCTGTTAAAACATCTTTGATTTCGAATTTATGATAAAAAAAATAAAATAAAATAAAAGTATTTATACCTAATTTCAAATTGATTTGGAAACATTTGATATCAATAATAATATGGAATATATCTATATCAAAATTTAAAAACATTATGACCTAAGTTTCCGATTTTAACATAATATACTAAGAAATAAAAATAAGATATTAGAATAATTTTTGTGGAAGATTTTTTGAAATATTTATTTGAAACATGAAGACTTATGAAATAATGACAAATAATTTATTATTTTCATACATATAATGTAAGAAAAAAATGACAAAATACAGTTTTTCTCATAAAAAATATAGCTCCTGATTGAGACTTAAATAGTAGCATAAATCTGAAGGCTCAAGGAAGTGAAGCATTTATTAAGTTTATAATAATTAAACAATGAAGAAGAAGAAGAAGAAAGATAAATAATACCCACTAATAGGTTCACATAGGGAGATAGAACAGTAAGTACCATGAAGACTTTATATAACGCAAGTTAAATTCCTTGTTATTGTATTGAATCCTATCCTGAGCAAAGTACAGTGGCAGAAATGGAAAAACATTCTGCTTGAAACTTATGGCATCTAAATCACATAATGAATAACTTATCTATAAAACTTATGGCTGCAAACAATGCTGACTAACCTATTGACAGATTACAATAATTGCAGTCAGCATTGGGAACAAATTCTATAAAAAATGTGTAACAATATGAATTAAAATTTTCTGTATTTTATTTATTTAAAATATTTTACATCTCAAAATTCTCAATCTTAGGTTTTAGGAGGAGGCCATTTTCAAGTCTGGAAGGTACTACATTGCTATTTGAAAAAGCTGGGAAGGCAGCAGATGACGCTACTCTACCCCCCATGCTATTATTGGCTGGTTCCTCATCACTGCATTTTTCTGCTTTTAAAGACATTGAAGATAATTTTGCTTCTGCAAATACCAAATAAATATCAGTTTTACTTTAATAAATTACAATCAGAAAATTAGAGATTGTGAGAGAGTAGATGACAATAGCCGAGATTTCAGACAGAGCATGCTTCGGTAAATAATGATAAGTATGAAACCTTTGATCATGAAATGTTGATTGGTGATAAATTACTCTCCATAACAGTAACAGTCAACATTGAACAAGCATTATTCTATGTTGAGGACAGAAGGAAGAGGCCATAATTAATGTATTGGTGAATTGTAAATGCATTAACTAACGCCGCTGATTAAAATTAAGAAAAACAGTTTACCTTTTGCTGCTCCGCAATTGATGAGTTTAAGAAGAGACTCTCGATATGCCATCAACACACATTTCTCTTGCTCTGCATACACCTCCGTTAAACTCTGGTTGTAAGGAAGCCTTGAAGAAGGTGGATTAGGGTCCTGAGAAGATGACATAAACAACATGTCTTGTTCATCACACATTAGTGCAAGAGTTCCAGGAGAAATGGGTCTTCCAACTTTCTGAACATCAACCAAGTCAGAACCAGACTCTTCTGTGCTCATTTTGTCTGCATGTGTTCCACTGAGTCGGTCATCAGCTGACATTTTCTGGAGATCTACATCCTTCTGAGTCTCATCCTTATCATGACTTGATGAAGCGAGTGAACTTTCTGTTTGTTCCTCCATCTCAGACATCATCTCCTCATCAACTCTTTTATCTGTACAAGTAGCTCATACAAGAAAGAATATGTTTAGATTTTCAGAGATTTATTTATTAAGATTACCAGCCAAACCTAAATGTTATCCACGAAGTGAAGAAATAATAAATTGAAAATGGCAAATTACACAATGCAGATGTATTTAAACCTAGATCCCCCTCATATTGTTAACACACATCAGAGTCGTAGCAGGAGCCATAAGCCTAGATCTAGGCAAGCTCGTCCCCCAACTTCTTTTAATAATGTCAGGCAAGATAATAATAATAACACTTATCACGCATCTTCATCTCCTACCAAAACAACTACTCATTTAGAAAATGATGATTTTCATGTTGCTGAGATTAGCAATTGTAGTCATACTCAGAACAGTACCTCTGCCCAAACCAACTCTTTGGTGAATCCTCAACCTTTTATTGCAGATATTAATTCTAATAAAGAACGCGAAAAAGAGATGAACTCGATGAAATAAGTGACTCGCGCGTCGGCGCGGCGCGTCACTTGAAGGATCAAATGACCTCCGATCTTCAAACAGACCGTGCCATTGCGATCAAGAGATTGAATTTGCCTAAGTGGGATCGTCTCGCACTAAAAATGGGGGGAAAATGACCAAAATCGGCGACTGATGCCCAGAATGGATGCATGACGTTGCCCAAATGACGTTCGATCACAAAACGGACTTCATCGTTGCGTTTAGAAAGTCGAAAATACATAAAAAAATTACTATCAATTTGTCCAACTAAAATCGCACAGCAAAATCGGATCGCATTTCGAGGCAACGCGCACAAATCGAGGCAAAACGAATATGTTGAATTGTGTTGCTTGATGATAATAATACTAATACACTATTATTATTATCATCATCATCATCATTATTATTTATTATTATTTAAATTAAAATTAAAAAAAAAACTCAAATCAACATTAAACTTACCTCGGATATCCTGCTATGAATCATGATCAAATCCCCAAAATCCTGCATAAATCTCGTAATTCAATTGCTCTGTGTGACGCTGCTACAGTTTATATCAAGTGGCAATGAATGAATGACTTCTCAACTATTTAGAAGACGAGCAAACAGCGAGCAGGGCTCTCGATTTTCCTCCTCACCGAATTCCAGAGCTCACGACTCCGTCCAACCAAGCTTCATCCAGTCAATCGAAATTCGTCGAGCAGCCACAAGAAACTCTGACCCTTCCCATCAATTTCGTTTGGATGTAGCTATACACAACGACCCCATTAACCGTTCACGAATCCACGCCCAGCCCTTATACCACCCGAAACCCCTGCTAAACTCCACACTTCTTTGATTTCTGAACTGCTCGATCGCAGGCCACGACCGACCCTCTTTCTCCGACCCCATCTAGTCCCAAGCCTGCATCGATCTCCACCATTTACATCCAATTCCCGCTTGCTCTAGCGAAAACTTCCAATCGGATTTCTATTTAGATCCAACGGCCAACCAATCCGATCACCCCACTACCAGATCCCACTCTACCCGCCGATTTGTCTGAACCACAAAAAACCTTTCCTCCTCTTTCCAACAGCCTCCACTCTTCCATACTATTGTGCTGTCCTCGACACCTCAAGCTTGCAACAAGTCGCAAATCCGGCCACCTAATCCGATGCCAGCACCTTACAATCCCGTCGCCAGCTGGAAGCTGTTCCACTCCAAGTCACATATAACCCTCCTATCCTCCCAACCTACAACTCCTTTTTCAATCAAACTACAACAACAGCAGCCCACTTCCAAAGCTTATAAGCCTCCTTAGCCATTGATTAAAGCAAAATAAAAAGCAACCGCACCAATTGTCAGAACATCTCATCCACCCAAACTTCTTTTGATTTCCGTTGTTTATTAAATTCAGAGCTACAAGGGAAAATAGCCATTGTCCTCTCCTCTACTTGTATAAACCAATTTGTCCCACTCCTTATAAACCCATTCCAAACCCACACTAAATCAGCCCAAATCGACAAACATGCCCATTCCAAACCAAAAGCTGAACAAGACAAGCTCTTTCTTTTTTATTATTATTCATAATCATTTTATTTTCATTACAGATTTTAATTACTAACGTTCATTAAATTAATGTTGCTCTTAGTCATTGCCGTTGATTGTGTATGAAATCATAGTTGCTAAAGATATACATACATGTGGACATATATACGTATCACGTATGTATACAAATATACATATCTTCATGTGTGTGTGTGTATAAGGAGAGCTAAAAAAATGAAATGAAAGTCAGTAAAAAAAGAGAGAAAAAAAAGGGAGAAAAAAAAGGGAGAAAAAAAGGGAAAATTAAAAAAAAAAAAAAAGAGGAGAAAAATATAAAAAAGAAGAAAATATTACTATGCATTTCTCGCAATTGTCACCTCGCTCGTCACCAATGTATAATGCTCTAAACTCAAAACCTCGCTTTTGACGTTTGCGGCGTGCCGGGGGACCACGTAAACGCACTATTGTAACACGGTAAGATGTGTTGCGAATCTGGATTCAGGAATTATAATTTTGATGATAACAAATATTTCTGATACTTCTGTTTCTTCTACGACTGTCTTGCCTACTAATGTTTCAGGTCCACAAGGTCAACTGCAAATTAAGCTAGCTCTAGATTGGGTAGACTAGGAGTGAGTCAGTCTGTAAGTGCATGCCAAGAATTTTTACCTTTTCTTGAGTCAATTGTAACAAAGTGGATCCTGATGCTAAGTAACATTGCATACACACACTCAGGAAAAAATTGTCTATTTTTAGAGTTTTCTATTTTTGATAATATTGTCTGGGACGATCCCAAATTGTCCTGGACGATCAGTTAAAAACAGAAACCCTAATTAGGGCATCCTGGTTAGGACAGCCGCAATTAAGCAAATCGTCCTAGAAGATATTAGCATTGTCTTGGATGATAAACTCAAATCAGAAAGAATCAGCAGCCAGATCTTTTTAGGCATGTTTTATTTTTGGACATCGTCCTCGACGATGTAGTGCAATTATGCCTAAATTAGTTTGGTAATTAAAGAAAGCAATTAAGGGTTGATTGCTCGATCATATCATCCTGGACGATTAGTTAAACAAACCTTAGTTTCTTCCTTGACGATCAGAACGATGTCCGGGACGATCCAAAATTGTCCTGGACGATTAATTATTTTTCCATTGTCCAAACATGCAATCAGGGCGATGTTCTGGACAATATTTGATGTTTTGAACTAATCGTCCGGGATGATCGTGAAAACGTCCTGGACGATCAGTTTAGTTTTCCATCGTCCAGAAATGCAATCAGGGCAATGTTCTTGACGATACTCAAAGATTTTGAACTAATCGTACAGGACGATGTCTTATCATCCTGGACGATCAGAACAAACAAGTCCTTTAATCGTCCAAACTCTTCCAGATCGTCATGGCTGATTGAGCTGAATTTGTACTGGTCGTACAGGATGATATGTCGATCGTCTTGGACGATTTATATCGGTTTGTTGCAATTAAGAGCACATTTGAAGCTCTTCTATATAAGACATCTTGTTTATCCAAGATTGCATCTTTTACTGCTATCTTGACCTGAGAGAGCCAAGAGGAGAGGGAGAGCAAGGGAGAGAGAGATAGCATCTTGTGAGCGAGAGTTTGTGAGGGGTTTTACAAAGGTTGCTCCAAGCAAAAATCCAGGTCTTCTCCGGTCGTCATCCCTGGTTCCTTGAAGGTTTGAGAGAGGACTACTTCAGCAATTGATCGAGGTTCTCTGTCTGCTTCATTAGGAAGCGAAAGGAGTCAAGTTCTCTGCCTACTTCAGGAGCAAGCAAAAGGAGTCGGGTTCTCTACCTCACTGGAGTCGGTGGAAAGGAGGTTTGTACAGGCTTCTCCGCCTTGCTGTAAGAGCAAAAGAAGAGTCACTGAGTTTAGTACAATACCCGGAGGAGAGGCTCCGGGGAGTGGACATAGGTCAAGTTGACCGAACCACTATAAAATTGTGTTCTTTCTTATTACTTTTCCGCATTTAATTTCCGCACTTTAATTTTCTTATGGTGATTGTTTGGTTGTGATTGTGTTTTTGATTGAGAATTTAAAAAAAAAAAACAAATTCAACTCCCCTTGGTTAACCTCGAGACTAGTTCATAAGGGCTGACCCACAATTTTTATCTCAATCATGCAATTGATTAATGTGAAATGATTATAATGACTACAAGGAATACACAATGAATTGCTAACCAAAATCAATTTGAGTATGAAATGATTGTAGTTTGCATACAGTCGACGTCAAATAATTGCAGACGAATACATCGGCCTATTTGCAAACAACATAGCCTCCTGCAAATAAACAATGCAACATGCAGCAAGTGTAAATGCCGGCTACCAATAACGAGAATGTTATCACTCATGTCATGAATCATCAAGCAATATTACAAATAATCAGTAACATGCTCAATCAACGGTTTAGAAAATGATAATAAGAGGTATGTAATGATATGATGATTTGTTAGTGTTCATGTGCAATGAACATAGAAGGATCACAAGCGAAGCAAGGGAAGTGTAGAGGAAATAGCCCCCTTTGTTATCAATGCAGGCTCACGAATAGAACATTGTGCACATTCAAATGATAGTTACCCGCACAACTAATCAACGACAAATATCTTAAAATGCCCTCGTACTTGCATTACAACAGGCACTCCATGCAAGTATATACTGCACGAATGTACATGCAAAAATATATACCCGCATGGGTCCTGATGAGCGAGATGTAGGTACACATTTGATGTCTAAGGATGCTGCGCAAGTTAATATATGAATTTAAATTTGTGCCCAATCCTGTTATGTGGATAAATAGAAATCGATACGGCTCAAACCATTAAACAAATATATAGTCATGGCGTCGATCGAGGTATTTGCTTTATGTGTTTATTAGGCCTTCAAGGCCTACGGCTAACCTGATCCTTTGTAAACAAATCGACAAAGTCGACAGGGTTCAACCAACAAAATAAAATCACAGATAAAACCTCAATGACGACTATGTTTA